CTCTTGATAGCTGGAGATTTTAATTTTCATCTGGACAATCCTAATGACCCTCTTACCAAACGGTTCGTGGATCTTCTCGCTTCCTTTGATTTGAAGCAGTACATTTCTGGTTCTACACATGCAAGTGGTCACACACTGGATTTAATTATAACGCGATCTGAAGAAAACATTGTTAACCATTACAACATCCTCGATCCTCTGATTTCTGATCATTCAGTTGTGCATTTACAACTATTGATTAGGAAACCAAAGTTTGTGAAGAAACATTTGCTTCTTCGTAATTTGCGGGCGGTTAATATTCATAAATTCAAAACGGATGTACTAAATTCTTTTCTTCTTAAGAATTTTACGACTATGGATTTGGTATCGTTGGTGAATGAGTATGATTGTCTTCATACTATCTTAGATAACCATGCACCGATTAAATCCCGGGAAATTACATTGCGCCCTAAGGCACCCTGGTATACTAACGAAATCAATGATAAAAAACGAATTCGGAGACAACTTGAGAGAAAATGGCATAAAACAAGGACGAATGCTGATTGGAATCGCTATAAACAACAATGTTATGCTGTAAATAAACTTATCGACTCCTCAAAATCGGCTTACTATACCGACTTAATTAATAATGGATCATCTGATCAAAAAACCCTTTTCAAGACTGTAAGCAATTTGCTGCATACAAATACGATTATTCGCTATCCATCTTCTCCTGACCCAATGTCGCTTTCCAACTCATTTAGTGATTTCTTCACTCAGAAAATTGTTAAAATACGAGATGATATCGATGATGAACTCTTGAGTAAAAACATAGAAAATCCTATACCTGATGCTGATTCATGTCCTTATGAATTTCACACCTTCAGGGAGGTTGGAAAAGACGAAGTGCTCCATTTAATCCAACGTATCGCAACTAAATCCTGTTCTCTGGATCCACTCCCGGTGGTCATGCTAAATCACTGTTTTAAAGACATCTTACCCGTTGTAGCTAGAATAATCAACCTCTTCTTGGAGAGTGGTACAATGCCTGACTCTTTGAAGATTGCTGTTGTTCAACCGCTATTAAAAAAGTACAATCTTTCCTATGAAGAATTCTGCAGTTTTCGTCCAATATCAAATCTGAAATTTGTCTCGAAATCTATTGAGAAAGCAGTTGCTGTACAATTAACTGATTATCTTACTGAAAATCATCTACATGAGAAATTCCAGTGTGCTTATAAACCTTGTCATAGTACTGAAACAGCGCTATTGAGGGTTCAAAATGATATCCTTCAAGCTCTAGATAACGGTGATTCTGTTATTCTTGTCCTACTGGATCTGTCGGCGGCTTTTGACACCGTGGATCGTTTAATGTTATTAACAAGACTATCGAAACGCTTTGGCATAAGGGGTCGTGTGTTGGATTGGCTTACCTCATACCTTACATCCAGGAAACTGTTTATTCGTGTTGAGGGAACTGATTCGTTATTGAGTGATCTTGATTGTGGTGTACCTCAGGGATCTGTGTTGGGTCCTCTGTTGTATTCACTCTATACTGCCCCTCTCGCGGATGTTGCTAGGCGCCACAATCTGCGCTTTCACTTTTTTTCTGATGATGGGCAACTTTACATTGCATTTAAAACGAATGATCGTGATGATTTAATATCATCTAAGATCCGTATGGAGAAATGTATATTTGAATTGGGAAACTGGTTGATGTTGAATAAATTGAAACTAAATAGTGGCAAAACGGAGCTTATATTAGTCCATTCACGCTATCATCTGATGCCTCCCTTAAATTATATCATGGTGGGAAAGGAAAAAATTGTGCCAACTGTTTCAGCAAGAAATCTGGTGGTGATTTTTGATGAGTGGATCAGATTGGGCGAACATATTAATGGTATCTGCAAGTCAGCTTACTACCATATTAGGAATATTTCAAGAATTAAGAAGTATCTACCTCGAAAATGCTTAGAAATAATTATTCATGCATTTATAACTTCAAGACTGGATTATTGTAACTCCCTGTTGTATGGTGTACCCAAATATTTGCTTCAGAAGCTTCAGAGAGTCCAAAATACTGCAGCTCGTTTACTAACTGATACTAAGAAATCGGCGCATATCACCCCAGTTCTTATCGAATTGCATTGATTACCTGTCCAATACCGTATTCAATTCAAGATTATACTTCTTGTCTACAAAGCTGTTAATGATCTTGCTCCATCGTATCTGAAGGAACTTATGCTGTGTCGTACTTCGCAGCGTACTCTTCGATCAAATGGAAATGAATTGCTCCAGATTCCTTATTCTAGACTAAAGACATACGGAGACAGATCGTTCTGTGTTGCTGGACCAAGATTGTGGAATGATTTACCTGTTCATCTTCGGATGTGTGAATCATTAACCATTTTTAAGAAGTTTCTTAAAACATATCTTTTTAACTTGTTTTTAAATAGTGTATGATGTATTCTATAGTTTTAACATTCTTAACACTAGTTTTTAAGATTGGATTTTGTATTACTGTAAAGCGCCTAGAACAGTCTTGGTTTGTGCGCTATATAAATGTTTATTATTATTATTATTATTATTATTATTAGCTACTAGCATTTGTTCTGGCTTTTCTTCACAGATAGAAGTGTGATGTTTCTTACAACATATTTGACACAAGGATGGGCAGCGACATGCTGAAGCTCTGTGGCTGGTACCTGTACAGTTGAAGCATAGTTTCTTTGACGATAAAAGTTTCTTACGCTCAGATGGAGTTGTAACTTTATCGCATTTCACTGACTTGTGTTGCGTACTATTGCAATAAACACACGGTCTTGGTTGTACCTCTCTGTCCCTTGCATGAAAGCTTCGAGCCCTAGGATCTTTTGGTTTTCTCTCAGTTTTGTCTTCATGTCTTGGTGGGTTCCGTTCTGTCCACTGTCGCAATGCTTCGATAAGATTGGGGAATTTCCAGCTTTGCCAGTCATCATCTGTACGCACCAAATCTCCACGTATACTTTCCAGCTTATCCAATGTCATGCGCACATACCCATTCACTTCTCCGATTCGACCCAAAGTCTCCAATGCTTGTACATTTGCTAGTAATTTTTCATAGAAAATAGCAATCTTGTTTGGATTTGTTCCATGAACTGGTTCAAGTGCCATAATGTTGCTGATATATGCATTAACAATTTCGCTTTCTTTACCGTACTTAGTTTTCAGAATATTCTTCGCTCTCTCGAAACCATCTGTGGTCAGCGGTAATCCATCAACTAATGCCCGTACCTTAGGTTCTAATAGTTCCTTCAAGTATGAAAATTTTGTAACATTTGAAATGTCAGTTGCACCAATTCCTGCTTCGTATTGTTCCCAAAATCTTGTCCAGTCTGTGTAGTTACCGTTGAATTTGGAAATCACCAGCTTAGGCAACTTGGTTGTATTTGGTCGATTTGGGGTTGAGACACTTCGACTCTCTTCTAGTTTCTTTTCATATCTCATTCGCTGTTCTAGCTTAGCTTTTTCAAGTTTTAGTTCATCTTCGAACTTCCTTTGTCGAGATTGCGCTGCCATTTCTTCCTCTTTAATTAAGTCTCTCAGCTTCGATCGCCTTTTGACCGATCCGTTTTAAGGAATTGTCGAGGTCAGCAATTTGTGCTTCAATGGCGAATAATTTATCTTCCAACGCTGTATATCTTCGATATTTTCGCCTTTTTCGATTTTTAACTCTTGAATTTTAACTTTAATATCATGAACTTCGCCTACCTTCGTTGTTAAGGTCTTAATCTGTCGCTCCATGGCTAAAACATTGTTTGTTTCGACTGATTTCTCTGCTTGTTCTTGCGTGAACTTAATGAGCCTGAGTTTCGTCTCGATATTCTTGCTCAAATTTTCGATTGATTCCATGATTTGTGAGCTGATTTCTGCCCACCCGGGGACGCCACTTATGTTGGAAACGGGTCTTCACAACACAATCACAAAGTTAATAAAATATATAATAAAACAAAAATAAATTTACAAATATAATCTGATATGTAGTTCACGCTTCGCTAAGGGTTTTCGATCAACAACGTGTTCGTTACATGAAAGGCCACAGTGCATAAATATAGCAGGATTTTCATGACAATAGACATTTGAAAAGTTACACCACCTTATCATCATCATCACCATCACGGCCGAGTATACTTGTCTTTAGGTTCATGTTGCACGACGCCTAAATAATGAAGGTATCAAAGGTGACGATATTGTCATTCTGTCGCCATATCGAGCTCAATGCTTTGAAATAACCAAGAAATTGAAACAACATAACTTGAATGACATCTCTGTGATGTCTGTAGTAGCAGCTCAAGGTTAGTGTGTATGAATGTCAATACAACTTGCCAGATGTCACTGTCATCATGATCTTCATCATAATTTAAATGACGATTTCATTCATCATCACTAATATCATCTCTCCATCGTGCTTGTCGCCATAGTAATCCTCTCAAACGGATAATTATTATCATGATTATTCATTGCCATATTTTCATCACAACATCGTCATCATATCACCGCCATAATCACATCATTATCATCACCCTCATTTTCTTTACTTTCTTTATCATCGTCATCAATATTAATATTGTTATCATCAATATTATTGTCTTAACATCACTGTATTATTCTCCATCCAGTAATTATTTACCATCCAGCGCCAATAATCACCACCATAATTACAACATACTTATTATAATTTATCATCATCATACAATACACGTAGTTACTGAACTGATAGTTTTTCTTGCTAATAGGAAGTGAGAAAAATTACGTCATTCTGTCATTGGTACGGTCTGTTCCTGAAAGAGAAATTGAGAGAAATCCTTCACGATCATGGTTGATGGAACATCTTGGGTTTTTAACCGATGAACATCAAATAAATGTCGCGTTAACCAGGGCAAAACGAGGCCTTTGTATTGTTGGTAAGAGAAATATCAAAGTACAGGTTCCATTGTTGTGGGAGTTGTTTTTTTTATTAATGTATCCTGATAGAGCAATAGGCATAATTTCAGTCAGCCTAACAGTCAGAATAGTATCATTTTATTTGTTTTGGTTTGAGGAAAACACCACGTATATTGCAAAGCTTTCGACCCATAAGCCTGGACCTTTATCAGTGCTAATAATATGACTATGATCATATTCATGGCGATTTTCCCGTATTGATCATAATAGTAGAGAGTTTAAGCTTCGGCTGCTTCGCGTTATACGGCAAACTGCAAACGCCAGGCAAAGAAAAATTTTACGGTATCAGGCAATAAAGAATAAATGAACTTGCTGTTTTAAAACTGCAATGCATGACTATTCTTTCGACACAAGAAAGAAAACGTTTAAATTAACGAAAATTTTGCGAAGAAAGTTCGAACCTGCCGTTTGCCGTTCCCGGAAACGCGAAGCTGGCTCCCTAATAACGGAGTATCACTTTGTAAACTCAACATATGAGTTATTAAAAATAACAAGACACAAAATTCAAGGTGATGTTTCGACTTTATTTTCTAGTCTTTGTCAAACTTAACAATTTGCAAGCGTGCTTTTTTTTTCCTAATCACTTTATTGCAAAATAAAATATTTACATTAGCAAAAGGTGGCCGCACATGCAGGACATAGTCCCAGTTGATTACAGCTATACCATTAAACTATACATACATACATGACATGCCATTAATTGCATTTATTTTTTATCAGTGAAAATGAAGCAATCTGATTGGCTGAGGAGCCTTTCAGAGCGGACCGGTTTTTTGAATCCGGCCCGCTCTGAAACGCAACTGCCTGCTGTGAAATGCAACTGCCCGTTCTGGTTTTCGCGGCAAAAACCGAGGAGTGAAACAATTTTTAAACGAAAAAATCTGCCAAAAACGTTTGAAAAACATAGCCTCACGATAGTCAGAGTACGAAAATGAATTGCATCAAGCCCTAAAGACTTCATACTAAGCACGATGTTCACCAGAATTGACAATATTTTGATATAGAAATGCGACTGAAAGTCGAAAAGTTATTTGACATGTATAATAAAACTTATGTCGAGAAAACTATATATTTTTTAAATGCTCATGTATTCGGCCACTTAAGAGCGAAAAAATTACAGCCGAAACAGATATTGTAAAATAAATGTTTTCCCATTTAAAAGAAGGTTTAACTGCAGCAGTGAAAACAAGTCACGAATATATTCTCTGCCCATTTGTGTCATGCATTTCATGCATTTTTCACTGATATAAATATTGTAAACAAAGTAAAAATTTGTGTTTAAAAACACTTTTTTCAAGCATATTATCGTGAAACGACAAGCAAAAATACAAAAATATAAAAATAACATACCTTTTTCATTGTTTTTTTAGTAGAAAAACGTTGATTAAATTAAAACAGATTCATTTTTATATGTTTTTGATCGGATCTGAATATGAACCTGTCGTTGTCAGGAGCAACTGATACTACATTATCAATACTATATAAATTCAACTAAGTTAAAAGTCGCTATTATCTACCAGTTTCAAAGAGTAGAGTTCCTTTAGCGCGCTTTTAAAAGTGCTTATTCTTGTAATAGTTTTTGAAGTAGGAGGTAGACTGTTCCATGAGCGTATATAACTGTAGGAAAATATGAATAACCAAAATAGTTTGTTCTGTATCTAAGTTCAGAAAAATTACTCTGATGAGAATGCAGATCTTTATAAGTAACAAAGCAGAAATATGAAGTACGAGACCCGAGAGAATATAGAGATCTTACATCTCATTAAAGTTTTTGAATGGGTTCACCTCGCATTTTTATCTATAAAAATAATTGTTTACTATTGATTTCAAGTACAACCATGCATGTAAATTCCATTAACTGTAATTTCCTTATTTGCTTCTCTTTAGGCAATGCAAACTTGCTTGGTATTTGCAGTATGTGGAGAGAGTTGTTAAAGCATTATGAAAGCAAAGGATGTTTAAAGATGGATGCATAGTGATTATCCGTAGTTTGAGTATCCGCGTACAAGTAATCTATCAACGAATTAGATGATCACGCAGGAATGGTGAAAATTTAGTTTAAAATATTCAGTAGCGTATAGTTATATAAGGGGATATTTTTATAAAATTTTTATGGGTACAATTTTAAAATAGACAGGCAAACAATTTCAGATAGTGGAGGAAATTGAGTGTTAATTGAGTGAAGGTTGGTGAAATATCAATGGGTTAAGACGTTAAGGATAATTATTTTATTTAGTATGAAAATCTGAAACTTCTATCAAAGCTAACGTTACAATACAACAGAATATTAATTAAGTGAATAACACTTAGCGGGAGGGATTTTTTTTTTTTGGGGGGGGGG